AATTTGTTCTAAATTTATACAGTAACTGTTGCATATACATGAGCTTTCCTAGTACGTCTATACATATGTATGACCTGTCCCTGCTTCGTATTAAAATTAGGGCTCCTCCTCCTTGCACTTGCGCAGTATCTTCTGGTGGTGGGCCGCTTCGTATTAAAATTAGGGCTCCTCCTTGTGCTTGCACAGTATCTTCTGGTGGTGGTCTTCTGGGGTCGTGGGGGATGAAGGCCATAGGTCTTCCTCGCCATGCACTCTTCACCCCTTGGTCTTGCGCATGCTCTAAGTTCTCTTGGGTTCTCTCCAAACTACAAGGTCAGCTTCAGCCGGTTAGGAACTAGTTCTTGTGAGAAACCGCTAATTTTACCTAGTCCTTGCTGATTTCAGGGACTGCTGTTTGTAACAAGTCACAAAGCTTCTTTATAAAGCATATTACAACTTAATGTTGTAATGTACCCTACAATTCCCTGTTTCACTAGCACTGCGGTGTCCCTGTCTGGTCTCTGTGCATAGATCACCCCTGCCAGGGCATCCCTGCCTGCAGGCTCTGCTGTGGCAATGCCACCAGTCTGCCTGAGCATCCCTCTCAGGACAGCCTAGCCAGCACCAACATAGGAGCACCGAGATTGTCGCAGCTTGGGCCTTTGCACGGGCATTGAGTATCCCAGTGGGGTGCTGGAAACACTGCAATACAGGGTCCTCAAGAGTGTGCAGGGCTTCCTTGTCTGGGCTCTTTGCTGGGACACCATAGCATCTCACTGCCTCCCCAGGCAGCATTGCCTGCAGCTCCCCGTGTCCTGGGGAGATGAGGATGGAGCCTCACAGCCACATCCAGAGGGATGCTGTGCTTGTCCAGGGTCACATTGCCTTGAAGATGGTTTTGGACTTGTGGTAGTGCCGTCCTCCTCAGAAGACATGTTTCTGCATTGAAGTCCCTCAGACTCAGTAGTGAAAATTCAAGGGTTTTTTTCTATTTTCAAGAGCCATCCTCTTCTGTGAAGTTCTTTGAGTTCGGGTTGAGTCTTTTTTTGGTATAATGGGACCTATGTAATTCCATATACACATCCTAAAGAGCCCTCAGCAGCTTAGCTGTTGGGACTCCCTTAGTTGTCTGCCAAAGTCTGGTTCCTGGCACCTAGTTCTCTGAAATGTGCAGGTAAAATCACATTTGGTGGCAGAGTGACAGTAGCGTATCAGTGCCAGGAGGACTGTCAGTAAGTAAGACAGTTTAACAACCTGTAGCCTCCGGGTTTTTTGGGTGGCTAAGTTTTTTGAGTCTCTGAGCACAGCCTGGGAACACAGCCCTGCTCCAGAGGCAGTGAGCCAGGGGAGATGAGAGAAGAAAACCCACTTGACTCAGTCCCTGCAAGGCTCATCCCTTGGAATGAGGCACCTTCCAAAGCATGGCACTGAGCACACAGGAAGGCCTCATTCTCTCCTGATGTTGTGGAAGTGGGGTGAGAACTGCTCTGATCCACAGGGGGTGCTGGGTGCTCACCACAGGGAATCTGCTTGGACAGCAGCAAGGCTCCTGTGCTGGAGCAGGTCCTCTGAGCTGCTCCCTCCCAGGCTCTGTGTTTCCAACCAAGTTCCCAGAACTGCTTGGTGGCCTTGGGGTACTTTATGTCCTATTCTTTCTACAATTGCTGCTTATTTTCAATAAAATAAATAGTCTAATAAGAAACCATCAGTATGAGGCTGTTAATACTCTAACATTCACCTGCAAAAGAATATTTCAGAATTTTTTAGTGTATCTTAGGCCAGGATGCTGTCCTCCCATGTGGAGACACATCAGATTTGATGCACAGCCAGAGCAAAGATCAGCATCTCCTCTGGCTCCAGAGAACAAAGGCTGGAGGCAAAAGCAGGAATCCTGGGTGAAGTTTTTGGACAGCCCAGCAGTGTGGCTAGACCACTGCCCATGAGCACTGCTTCAGATCTTCAAGGTAAAAGAGCTCCAGTCTGCCTATATGAAGGAAAGTTCTAGAGGTGGGACCTTCTTGGAGTAAAATCATCTTAAAACTGGTGGGTGAAGCACCAGCCTGCAGCATTGCTCCTTGGGGCCCTGAACTGCAAGTGCTGTAGCTGCAGTGCTCTGGCCTGCCCCATCCAAGGCTGCTCCTCCATGTTTCCACACTGCTGCTGCTCCCGGTGAATGTGTAACACAGGCAGAAACCCTTTCCCTGCCTTCCCCCTAAGGTCAGGTAGAGAGGCAGGTTAGAGACAAGAAAATGCTGATGTTTCAGAATGAACCCCTGTTGCCTGGGGCAGGGGGAAGGACCTGCACCTCCGGTGCCTCCACTCCCCTGTGCCTGCTGACAGCAGATGCGTGGAGCCTTCCAGAAAGCCTGCAGGGACAACAGAGCCTGGTGTCCTGGTAAGGAAGGATCTTACTAGATCTTATCTCTCAGCCAGGTATCAGAAATAGTCCTCCTAGAAAGGATAAGGCTGGAAAGTTTGCAGGGTTTCCTTTTCTTTGCCCAGACCACAGAACTTCAGTCAGGGAAGTTGATTCCTTGATTGGAAATTGGAAAGCAAAGTGGTTGTGGGTGGGATATCTCACAGTGTCACTTGTCAGCAGTGTGGCTGCATAGGAAAACACAGACACTTGGCTCCCAGAGTTTAGTTTGGTCTTATTTCTCACTGGCTGAGCTTTAAGTTACAGCAACTGCTATGTTGAGCAGATTTCAGAAATCTGCAATCTGAATACTTACATGTATAATCTGAAGCACAGCATGGAAGAGAGAACCTGACTTTCAACTGAGTGGCCACATGTGTATGAACACCCCCCAAGTGCTTCTGAGCCGTGTCGCCTTCCAAGCAGGACAGGGCTCGAGGGGACACTGGAGCAGGTCTAGCTTTGCCTTCATGCCAGGTCACTAATGAGCAGCCCCTCTCTTTGGAGCTGCTGGCAGGGCTGTGGGTGCTGGCAGGGCTGCAGTGCTGCAGCACCCCCAGAGCAGCTCTGTGCTGGGCCAGGAAAGAGCCTGGTGCCTCTTCAGTCCCACCAGGAAGAGCATTTCTGTAGGCAATCCTGTGGTATGTCATCCAGCTGTGGTTGCCTTGCACAGCTGGGTGGACAGCACCATGACCAGAACTACAGCTCCAGCCTGGCTACTGGCAGTGTTACCGTGGTGGTGGGAAGGAAGAGGGTGATCCCAGAACTGAGCAGGGACAGATCTCAGCCCAGCAAACCTCACCAAGCACAAGGAATCAGACCCAGTGATGGAGAAAAGCAAGTCTGAGTGCTGGATCCAGCTGCTCCAGCACGGACCCTCCATTCCCTGCATCCAGCAGAGCAGGGTCAGGGGCTCCCTGTGCTTCACCACAGAACTCCCTTTTCCCAAAGAGATGTCCTTGCTCTGGGTCACAGCACCCAGCAGCCCCTGCCCTAGTAAAGGATTTGCTGCTGAGCTGATGTGTGGATGGCTCTTGGGGTTCAAGAGAAAACAGATGAAGGGCTTCTCCTTCCAGCTATCATTCCCAGAGATCTGTGAAATACATGAGCCCATGCACTTTCCTCAACACTTCACAGGCAAAGGGTTGGGAATGGAGTTCTTTTTAATTGCAGCCATCGCTCTTCTCTGTGTGTCTCTCCCTTAGCTTAGGAATCCCTTAGCATCCTAAATCATTAAGCATTTTTGTGATGGTACCTTTTATCCTGCAGCTGAAAACTGGCTCCAAGAGCTCAAAACCCAAAGGGCTGAGGGTCAAAGCTGTGACGGTTTAGAGATGACCAGAAGAAATTATGCTTCCCCAGGCTGGAATAAGGTGATGCCCTTCAGCAGGGATGTTTCTGTCCTACAGCAGCCCCTGCGGACACGGGTGACGGGCACCTCACCGCTCGGGGATGGCTCTTAAACCCGGCAGCTAGCTGATGGCCACCATACCCTGGCCATTTGCCACAGCAGCTGCCACCCCAGTTTTGCGCAGCCCTTTCCGCCCTGCTTGGCAGCTGCCTGGCGCCACCTCGTGCTTAAATAACCTCTCCGGTTATTTCTGTGCTGGCACTGATCTTTCACTAGAAAGGATAGAAACCCTCCAGCATTCATTTTCAGCACGATATTTCTGCATGTCTTTGCCCAGGCAGATACCTGCAGTGTTGGGTCAAAGCGCCCGTTGGTGCTGCCTGTGTGGCTTCACAGAATCCCAGAATCATGAGGGTTGAAGTGACCTCTGAAGATCATCCAGTCCAATCCCCTGCCAGGGCACGGCCACCCAGAGCAGGTCACACAGGAACGTGTCCATGGTAGGTTTGGGATGGCTCCAGAGAGGGAGACTCCACAACCCCCCTGGGTAGCCTGTGCCAGTGCTCTGACACCCTCATGTAAAGAAGTTCTTCCACATGTTGAGGTGAAACTTTTGTGTTAGTTTATGGCCATCACTCCTCATCCTGTCGCTGGGCACCACTGGATAGAGTCTGGCACCATCCTCCTGGCACCCACCTTTGAGATATTGATCTGTACTGATGAGATCCCCTCTCAGGCTGCTCTTCTCCAGACCAACCAGATTGCTCCCACAATCTCTCCTCATAAGAGAGGTGCTTCAGACCCCTGAGCATCCTTGTGGCCTCCACTGGACCCTCTCCCGC